CAAAATGAGAACAATTATATTGCAATGGTTCAGAGGATGAGTGGAATTGTTCAATAAGTCTCATCCAAAAAGAAGTAAAATTGAGACTTAACACCATCCTATCTCACGCATTTGCTACACTTATTGAATCCATAAAAGATTTTGTGAAAGAAGACTGGAAGGTAGAGTTTATGCACACCTTGCTAGAAGGGAATAAGTGTGCTGATATTCTCACCAAGAAGGGGCCCACAACAAATAGGCATTTGATTGTGCTTGGAGAACCTTCGTCTATTTTGGTGGATGCTCTTCGTAATGATAGAGATCACGTGTCTTTCTTAGGAACTTAGTTTTTGCTTCTTTTTCTTGTTTGTTTGTCTCTTACTACAAAAAAAAAAAGAGTGTAGAATGAGATAGACAACTTTTTCCTATAAGAAATGGCAAGTGTAATTTACAGGAAAGATTTTTAATAAGTACATAATTATCTTTTATAATAAAAATAAAAAAGAATTTTACTTTTTTTTTCTTTCTCAAATATGATTAGCGAATCTCAATCTTTTATTTCACTGGATGATATTAATGTGTACAATTTTATTTAGGCATTTAACAAAAAAAAATGAATTTAAGGAAATATAATAAAATTAGTAAAATTTAACTTAGTTAACTATTTTTTTATTTAGTATTCTAACATATGTATTATACAAACTAAATATTTATTATATAACTAATATTTGTAATAAATTATGTATAGATATTATGTTTGAATATATAAATTATATTTAGAATTTTAATAATAGAAAATTTTAAATATATAAAATAAACTTTAAATTTTTAATAAATAATTTATATTGTAGCACAATTTTTTTATATTAATAATTTATTTTAAATATTAAATTTTATTTTATAAATAATTATGATAAATAAAACTAGAATTAGATATGTAATTAAAATAACCTTTAAAAACTTTCTCATCAAAGAAAAAATTTCTAAAATTATTTTCACAAAATATAGTCATTCACATTTAATATATAGAAATTATCATATGAAATAATTTTTTAATACTTGTAAAAAAATATAGGGAATAATATATTATTGTTGATGATCTAGTTGTCAAATATTTTTCTTAATGTGTTATTTTTAACTATATATATATACATATATATATATATAGAGAGAAAGAAAGAGAAGGAATTCACTCATTAACTTATTCTTTATATTAAATTTTAACAATTTAACTGTTGAATTAGAAGTTTTTAATATATAGATCTAGTTTATAAATTTTAAAAAAATTAAAAATCATGTAATACTTCGTTATATAAATTAAAATCAACATACAAAATATTTTTATGATTATCGATCAATTTAAGTTAATGAAATGAAGTATCAAATATTTTTTTTTCTTTTTTTTAATTTATATATTTAATCTATACATTAAGACCTTTTTTATTTAATTGTTAAAAATTAATATAAAACATGAGTTATTGAGTAAAACAAATCTACCAATCTCATGCCTAATGATAATAACGCAAAAAGTATTTGACCTATGTCATGTCTGACACCTTAAAGCTACTCTTGGTGTGATGAGAAATTTTGCACTTGACAAAATCTTGATCTTGATTCTCTACACTTGAAACTCAAGAAATCCACACATGCAATATGCTAAACCATACATAAGTATCATAAACTAGTCGAATTCAACCATATTATCAACATGCAACCACCAAATAATTAAAATAATCAAATTCACCTTACCATACTTCAAAATACCAAGACCCACCATACGTCATTTCCAATCTCAACAATTTAAACAACCACGAATTCAAAAAATTCCCATTAATATATGCATCACAAATAAACAAGAAAATGAGTCCTAACTCAAATTTTTCTTAATTATGAAAGTTTCTTAGCAATAAGCAACAATTCATCGCGACACAAAAATTAATAAAATCAATAATAATTAATAAAATGTACAATGTTAAAAAAATTAAAAAATATTTTAACAAAGTCGTGTAATTAATCACAACTTCAACAATGTTTTTTTTTATATAAAAAAAGTCTATGTCAAAATTACGAATTCAACATTAAAAAATATAAAAATAAAATAATATTTTATAGGCACTATTTCAACATCATAACTTTAAAAAAAAAATAAAGAGTATGAATAGTGACAAATTTAGAAAACTTAAGTTGCGGAAACTATTAGAATTCAAGTGTAAACATAGTTTTACCTCGATTAGAAATTGATATGTTGAGTATTATATAAGTGAGAAAGACTCATCAATCTAATATGTCTTAAAATTGTGAGTTATGATATGTTATCAAGTTTACTTGTATGATTTACTCATTATTCATGACTGAAATACTCTTTAATATATAACTCTCCAACCCAACAAAGACAATATCTACACAAAAATTTATAATACTAACAATTTAATATACTACTTTGAAGTTTAAATATATACTATAGCTGTTCTCTACAAAAAATTTTTAAATGATTAATGATTTTTTTTTTCATTTTCAATAATAGTGAATTTTTTTTTAATAAAAACCTACAAATTTATTGGACTATTCATCTCTCATTTGATTTCTTATATCAATTCTTGATGATATGTGAAAAAATAACATATATAAGAGTAAAAAAAAATGTACGTTTCATAATAGAAAAAAATATACACTCAACATTGAAATTTTAGTACAATACGCTTTTAAAATACATGGTTATCCTTCCAATATTACTATTGGATAACAAGAAAAATTAGGATCGAAAACATAATAATAATAATAATAAAAAAGAGTTGCTTGGACATGAAGAAGTGAATGTATAAGGAAAATTTCAAAACTATTGTTCTTTAAAAAAAAAAAATCTTAAAGCAAATAGAGTCCTTTGCATTTTGTAAAAAAAAAAAAAAAGAGCAAAAATTATAATAAACAATTAAGTATCATAGTAACAAATAAAATAAAATACTAATATTAAAAGTGAAAATAAAAAGAAAGAAAAAAATAACACACAATTTTAATTAATTATTATTATAGGAACAAAATAATATTATATACTTTTAATAAAATAATAATAAAAAATAGTGGAGGCAGCTGCCCCACACTGCATAAAGTGAATCCATCCCTAAATATAAAAATTGTATTTTATTTAATTTTTTTGTGCAGGAAGATCGTGTTTATATTAACGGGATCAATAAATAAATAAATAAAAATTATGTTTTAATTCACCACTCTTCAACTAAAATATGATTTACCAATAAGGAATAATATATCCTCTGAAATTTCAATCGAAATCACGTCCGAATTAATTTTGATTGATGTTTATAATTGTTTTTAATTATAAAATATAAATTTTAATTAAAAATAAAGAAACTTTTTAATTTGTGGGAGGATGATTCGGAACGTGAATTCGGATACAACATTTTCCTTTCCCAATTATGATGTAAATCAACTTCTTATTTATATGCTGGTTAAAAAAAAAAAAGTTACCAAAAGAAATTGTATGACTGGTCATAATTTCAAAAAAAAAAAAACCACGAATTTTATTACTCTTTCAAAATTTATTTATTTTGGCTGTGGTAAAAAATTCGGTGATAGTTTTTAATTAAGGTAAAAACAGTTGTGATATATATATGCTAATTAGAATGGCCTCTAATTCAATTTTATATAGTTGGACACATAATTTCTTTTTTTCTTTTTGAAAGATTTTTTATTATTAACTTTATATAATATAATATTATTTTTTTAATATTTAAGTTTTAACAACATGAAAAATAAATTAACTACTTTTTATATTGTTTTTAAGCTTTTTTTTTTGTTCTTTTATTGAATTCAAAATTGGCCTCCTCATACCAAGCTCCCATGGCCGGCGTTGGCAGATTTCTTTTTCTTTTTTTTTTTAAAAGAAAACTAATAACACAGCAACTCACCTATTTAGCCATTGTTAATTTATTTGAATTAGAATCTGTAATTATATGTTGCTTTAATATGTAGAATTTTGAAACATGGTGTGTCAATTTTGCCTACCCTGTCACTAATCCTAGCTTGCATATAAAGTTAAAGACGTGTGATTTTTCCACGTCCCTTTGGAGACCAAAAGCATACAAAACTATTTCATATGCTTATACAAAATAAACAACCTTCTAATTCTATAACCACTTGGCAAGTGGCTTTAAACTATAAATTATACTATCTCTACCTTCTCAAAAATAATTAAAGTACACAACTACTATAATGCTTCCAATAAAGTATAGATCCCACAAAGTCCTTAATTTGTATTCCGCAATTTATACCATCATATTCAAACGACTCAAATTAAACGACCTATAAGACCATGTAACATTTTTGTATTTATATTATTCATGTGAAACAGTAATTGATTTTGTTTACTAATAGTAAAATTGTTAACCCCAAACGTGTGGTTCAGCGGTAGGAGTTGATCCATGCTTAAGCAAGGTCAGGAGTTCGAATCCTGCCTTGTGTATGTAGTCGCGTTAAATCTTGGGGCCAGCTATCCCACCCTTTGAGGTACCTCCAACCTAGCGAGGAGATTAGTCACTGCTGTGGTACCTCCAACGTCTCCAGGGACAAAAAAAAAAAAAATAGTAAAATTGTTCCACTTAACTAATAGTTTTGAGTTTTGATTTTGAATATAAGATAAATATCCAGTTACATACCTTGATTATTGTCTATTATAATGTTTCTATTCAATTTAAACACGATTATCTCTCATAAAATATTTAACTAATTTGAAAAACAAATCCATGTAAAGTGCAGCACAGTGATATAATATGCATGAATTATTGTAAATTTCATTGTACTTGAGTTGAACTTTCACCTTTAAATAATAATAATAATAAATAAAAAAACTACTAAATGACCGTCCAGCTTTTAATATACAAGTTGAAGGATACTAGTGTATATATGAGTTGTAAATCTAATGATTACTTAAAATAATAATGTATAATACGGAAACAGCCTATATAATAGAGCAACAACTTAGCTATCCTTCAAGGAATGAGGTTATTTTGGAGAGCAAAACTTCTTTATACTCTATATTTCTAAAATCACTTTTAAAGTTTAGAAACAAGAAAATTTGATATATTCAGAGAGTTGCTGTTTTCACCACTATCTGAAAGGGCTTTATTCCATCGGTAATTCCTTTTTCTTTTCCCTGTTTGGTTTTGTAATGAAATTTGATTCATCATTGACACTTCCAAATGCTTGGCCTTGTAATTTTTTTTCGCTTTTTTCCTTTTCTTTTTGAGTTTTGCATTTGATAATCGTTTAGATATTCAGTATCGTTGTTGTGAATGGTTACTAACACTTTTAACCGTTCAAATGAAATTTTATCTAATTGACTCTTTAGAAATGAAATTTCCTTGCATTAATCTTCTTTTCTAATATTTTTAGTATTTAAAATTTTAATTTATTTATCAATTTTTATCGATAAAAACTCAAGTTTTATATCTACTAGAAATAATAAAATAATTAAAGAATATGTAAAAGTGGATTTAATTTTTCTTAAAGACATTAAAATCATGCTTGGTGTGCAATCTTCCTAAGAAATATATATAATACATGATTAAGTAATAAATAAGCATATATGGTCTATTGCATTGATTTTAAAAGTTGGTTTTGTATTTAGGGAATAAATGATGGGTCGACCAAAAGGTGATAAATACTACTGGAATCAAGTTACAATAGAAGAAAATGGGAAGTGGAAATGCAAGCATTGTAATCGAGTCTTCAGTGGGGGATTTACAAGAATTAAAGCACATGTAGATCAAACAAAGGGAAAAGGCATTGCTGTATGTGTATGCTCAGTTGATGGTGGCAATGAGAGAGTTCTGAGTACTTCCGATTCAAACAATCCACGATTGACTGAATCACAATGTAAGTAACATGCTTAACATTTTCGAGATAGCAATGAGAATTGAGACTTTTACTTTTCTACCTACATAAGCGTATACAGATAATTTATCTCTTTTAATCCTCCTCCAATACTCTTTATCTTTCACATATTTATAACCTTGTCATGGCTATGATTAGGGGTGGGTACACGGATCCAGGTCTGTGGATCGGTCTAAGTCCGCGAATTTCGTAAATAACGGATTCATTTTTTTTAAATTTGTATAATTATGTCTAATTTTTTAGTCTGGTCTGTAAAATCTGCGGACTTGACGAATTTAATTTGCGGACTAGTCTGCAGACTTCACTAATTAATATTTTTAAATATTATGATTTTAATATTAAGTTATGTATTTAATTTTTTAAATTATTATGATATTAAAATTATGTTTAGTTGGTATGTATTTGTCATTTGAATTACTTTTATGATATTTTGATGCTTTTATTATTGAAAGTTTGGTACTATAATTTAAATATTTGTAATTATTTTTATTTTAATATTTTAATATTTGGTATTTTAAACTATTTTAACTATTGATAATTTTTATTATGATAAAATTTAGCTTATAAATAATTTTTTTTCTTCTAACTTTATGTATTTTTATTTTCTAAAAATTTATTTTTTGAACCATTATTTAGGCCTGCGGACCAGTTCATTATCAGCGGATTTTGGCAGGCCAGATACAAACTTAAAAAATAAGTCTATTTATTTTACGGACCGAACTTATCCAGCCCGTATAAAATGCGGGTTTTACGGACCGGGCCTTAAACAGGCTGGACCGGTCCGTATACCCATCCCTACCTATGATACAAATGTCATTTCTGCCTTTAATATTAGGACGAATAGCCCTCGGACATACTTGTTCAGTAGTATAAAAAGAAGATATTTATAAGAGATATTTTAAAATTTAATTCAATCCTTGATTTTAGATAGTTCAATATAATTAATGTTGTAATAAATGTTAAAAAATACCTTATCTTTTTAATATGTTATTATTATTTTTTATTAATTTTACGTTTAAATTGTTTTTAGTCCCTTAAATTTAGGATAAATTTATTTTTTGTCCCTCGAATTTAAAATTAATATTTTTAGTCCTTATAATTTCAAAAAATCTTATTTTAGTCCTTATATTCAAATTTTGTTAAGAAATTTATCAAATATTATTACGTAAAATCTATCTATTGGAGTCCTGTTAGTGAAAATATCACATTAAATTCAATTAATATTGTATAATCATCTTAATTTGTTATTTTTAAATATGTTATTGGTGATATGATGAACTAAAATAAGATTTTTAAAAATTACAGGGATTAAAAATAATAATTTTAAATTTGAGGGACTAAAAACAAATTTATCTTAAATTTGAGGGACTAAAAATATATTTAAACCTTAATTTTATTAGATCTAACAGAATTATTATCTATTTAATTATTTTTAAAAATATATTTTTTGAGTTATTTATAGACTTATCTAGTTTTTGATAAGATCCGAGGAATTGTCGACTATACTCTCCAGTTAAATTTTTTTAATATAACTTTTTTGATGCTTCTAAAATTTCTTTAAAAGTACATATTTGGATATTTTTCCTAATTAAATACTTAATCTTTTTAATTAATAATAATTTCTCTAAAATTATTAGGGTTGATCTAATAGAAAAGATGAAATAGTTTACATGTTATTTTAAATTTAAAGTTTATTGTGATCATAGTAATATTTTATATTGATAACCATAGAACAAGTACAATATATTTAAATTGGCCTCTATACAATTAAAAACCATATATCAATAACTGTTTATCATTATTTTTAATCGTTTTATATAATAGTTGTTACAACATTTTAATTTAAATTTATTGAAAATATAAAGTCATCTTATATTATTATCAAATTATAGACCGTGAAGTAGAATAAATTGTTGACTTTTCTAGTATCCATTTTTAAAATCATACGTAAAGTAATTTCTAATCAGTTAATTAATAATGTATTTTTTTATTGACAGTATGAAATTTAATTTCTTTTTATAATATTATTTCTTATTTTCTATATTAATTTATTGAGACAATTTTACTTTAAATATCCTTATTTATTTATTTGTTTTTTAGGAATCACTTTTTTTTCTTCATCTCATTTTTACATATAATTTATGATCAATGATTATCTCTACATTCATCTAATTTCTTACTAGTATATATAATAGATTTAAATATTTTTTTTACAGAAAGTTTAAATAAACCTTTACTTTTTATAATATATCATTTTTTTTATCCTTATCATGTTTTTAAAACAGTTATTGTAAAATTTAAAGTTTTCAAATTACTCCTTATAATATATTTATTTTTTCAGTTTAGTTCCTATAATATTTTGTTTATTTTGAGTTAATTTGTTTGCAAAAAATTACACAAAATAAAAAAAATTATTCATGTATTATAAAGACAAAAGCAAAACAAAAATGTTACAAGAATTAAAATAAAATAAAATAAAATTAGAAGACTATTTTTTTAATCCATCATAATTACGACCACATTAAAATTCAAATCTAAAATCCTATCTCTACTATCTCAGTCTTCTCATTATTAGGTTGATTTTAGTAATTCATTAGCAGAAAAAAATTAGAAGAATTATTTAACAAATATTATAAGAAAAAAATCAAATAAATAATATATTACGGTGCGAAAAGTATATTTAAAGTCTTTATTTTATTTTTAAAAAATTAAAATTTTGTGGGACAACTAACCCACAATTGTACATGTGGAACGTGGATGTATCATTGTGTATTGTTAAAGTTGGTGAACCTAATTCTTGGCCCGATCAAAAAGCTCGCGGTGTAACTAATTTAATGAATAAATAGAATATGTTACATAGAATATGTTTCTCCTTTAACCATAATTTATTTTTCGTCATCAAGTATTTTATGAATTAAATCTGCGTGTTCATTCTTCTTTGTTTATTTCCACTGCGCATTATATTATTTCTAACTTACGTTCTGAATTGTATATGTAGCCTATCTATTCTGTGAGTCACTTAGAATTGTGCAAGGCAACAAAATTGAATTAATGATTTTTTTATATAAAAATTTATAAGTTTGTTCAAATATTTCTTAGGGTTTCTCTGAAGTGTTCTTAGAACATTAATATTTTTCCTGAATTTTATGTTATGTACCATTATAAAAACAATGAACCAGGTTCGGTAGCAGAGCACGTTGTAAGGGGAAGCAACAACGTCAATGGTATTTTCCAAAGTGAAATCAATGACTTAAATAAGTTGGTTTCTGATCTTACAAGTGTGGAAGATGACATTAAGGGACAACTACAATGGCTAGAGTCTCGAGGCAAGAAGCGCAAGAGTAATGTTAACAATTGGTTGAATGAACTACAAAATTTGAAAAAAAGGGTTGTTGATATGAATAACTCACTGGATGTGTTTGGGTTGGGTAACTTCTATGAGTTGGAAATAGAGCAGTGGGTTGATAAGTTGCAACAACATGAGGAAATAAGGCAATTGACAGTAGAAATGCAGCGACATAAGATACAAAAGCCTGTTGTGTTGTCAAATGAATTTGTTGGTGAAGACTTTGAGCACGACGTTCAAATCATGTGGACACTTTTGGAGGATGTCCATGTTTTCATTATTGGCATACATGGAATGGGGGGAGTGGGGAAAACATTCTTTGCAACTTATATGGAGAATGAGATCAAAAGAAAGGCAACTTTTAACCATGTCTTTTGGGTCACCGTTTCCCATGATTTCACCATTTTCAAATTGCAACAGGACATTGCAGAAAGAATAGGGGTAAAGCTTTGTGGAGATGACGAGAGAAGTAGAGCAACAATTTTGGCATCTGAGTTGGAGAAAATAGAAAAATCAGTACTTATTTTGGATGATGTTTGGAAATATATTGATCTAGAGAAGGTGGGAATTCCTCTCAGAATGAATGGCATTAAATTGATCATCACAAGTCGTTTGAAACATGTGTATCGACAGATGGATTGCCAGTCACATAATATCATAACAATTTACCCTCTCCAATGGTCAGAAGCTCGGGAGTTATTTTCGCTAAAGCTTGGACACCATGGAACACCTGCAACACTTACCCCTGAAGTACTTGAGATTGCAAGATTTGTCGGAAAAGAGTTCAATGGTTTACCACTTGGAATCATTTTGATGGCTAGAACCATAAAGGGTTGTTATGACACTTATATGTGGAGACATGCATTGAATAAACTTAAAAAAATGGGAATTGGAGAAGAGGTGAAAGAAGTGGTCTTGACTGTACTAAAACGAAGCTATGACAATTTAGTTGAAAAAGACATGCAAAAGTTTTTCTTACATTGTAGTGCAGTGTTACCTAATACTTTTGATAGAAGTGATTTGGTTGTCACGCTTCTTAACAATGGATTTATGAAGGAAAAGGGAAATTTAGAGGAAATATTTGATGAGGGACATGACATAGTGAATAAACTCATAGACCATTCTTTGTTGTTGGATTTGGAGGATTGTTCACTTCTAGAAATGCATAATCTGGTAACAGACATGGCGTGTCATATCTTGAATGAGAGTCACAGTTACATGGTGAAATGCAAACAAGAATTGAGAAAGATACCTCACGTGCAAGAATGGACAGTTGATCTGGAGTTAGTTTATTTGGCAAATAACATGATAGAAGAAATCCCAGAGGGCACATCACCTAATTGTCCACGCTTATCCAGTTTGATCTTAACTAATAATCGCATCAACCATATTCCGGAGTGTTTTTTCACAGACATGAATGCTCTAACAGTACTTGATTTATCATATAATGATGCTATCTAACTTGAGGTCTCTTATTTCTTTAGTGCTCACCGGATGTTCAAAATTGGAACATATACCTCCAATAGGAGAGCTACGAGAGTTGTCAAGATTGGACATCTCACATTGTTCGATCCTCCAAGTACCTCAAGGATTGCAAAATTTAATAAACATGAAATGGCTTGATTTGTGCAATAATGTCAACTTAACATTGGAACCGGGATGTGTTCTACTTCTACCCAATTTGACCAATATGCAATATCTGGATATGCGGTATAGTTCAAGTATAAAATTAGAAGATGTGCAAGGGATGAGCATGCTTGAATGTTTTGGAGGAACCTTTCTGGACCAGGATAACTTGAATAGTTATGTGCAAGAAATCCAGGATAGAGGTTATGGACCTAAAACTTTTCTTATCCATTTAGGAACATACGAGGGTTGGACGCCTGACTCTGATGAAACTATTTATTCAGAATTTAATCTTCGAAGTGTATGGTTTGGAGATTGCCAAGAATTGCCCCATTTACTGCCAAAAGACACTGCAGAATTGATCGTACGTTACAATAATCAATGGGTATGCTTATGTGCGGCTCTATCATCCAATGGTCCTACTTCTTTGAAGAAAATTCAAATCAATAAGTGCACAAAACTGAACAGCTTGTTCTGTTTGTCCAGTTCTTGTTCCTCATGCTCTAGTATCCAAAATTTGGAATCTTTGAGACTTTATTGTTTGGAAAGTTTAACTGCCATCTGCACGGAACACCATGTTGGTTTAACAAAATTTTTGCCTCTGACGGGGGTGTTCTCTCATCTCAAGAAAATTCGAATCCATGGATGCCATGAAATAGAAACGTTGTTGACACCATGGTTAGTGCCACAACTTCAAAACCTGGAGTATATAACTGTTTGGAGCTGTAATTCAATAAAGGAGATATTTGCAATACATGGCAATGGTGATTATCATAGTTTCAATATTACAATCCCTAATTTGCTCAAGTTGAAATTGCGCCATTTACCACAATTGAAGATTGTCTGCAAAGGGATTTTAGTATGCGGGTTTAAGGATATATTGGACATCCTTGACTGTCCCAATTTAGAAAGATTCCCTACAATACAAGTTTTGCATGATTCTGCTGATTTTGGTAATTCTAATTAAGTGAATTTGTATTTATATTCATAATTCATATGTAAACAAAATAAGGATTATTTGTGTTTATATTTATGAGAGGAGATGTCTGTTGGTGTGTGTGTCAAACTCTCTAAGATGATTGTCTCGTATTCAACAGAAAATCTTCCTTAGTAATGAAAAAAGAATTGATAAACATGTGCGCGAAGAATGAACAAATACGGATAAGGCACAATCATTCCGAGAAGAGCAACAAAGTCATTTTGAAACCGCATTGACGCCGTTGACCATAAACGGGAAAACAACCATCTCGCCGGAAAACTGACAGTTCCGGCGAAAGTGTTGAAGAAGAAGAAGAAGTGATGGTGAGAAATTGAAAGGAGTTAGTTAACTTGCAATGCAGGGAACGTAAAAAGGATCTTGCACGCCACACATACCTACCCACAAAGATGAATGATCCTCCCTTTTTACAAATTCCCACCTTGCCTTATGCCCTACTTTATTCGTTTTCTCTCTCACACTTCTTCTTCTTCTTCTCCTCTTTCCATATATTTAACTCTTTTCCCACCCTTCCCTCCACTTCCGTCTTCTCTTTCTGTTCCCACAAGGTCTGTGTCTTTGCTTTTCGCTCTTCCAACGGGGCATTTTGGGTTTACGTGAATCCCTTCTCAAGTTTTTACTTTTCACTTTCAAGTTTTAAAACGTTCAACACTTCAAGTAAGCTTTTTTAGGGGGCAGAGGGATGAATTTTAAGATGTTCAAGTTGTTTGAAAGCCTCTTGATCGTTCAGAATGTTGGTGGATTTGCAATTAATGCTACGTGTCAATGTGGGGTTGTCATGTGCAATGAAAAATTATTACTTGGTGCATTTGCAATTAATGCTACGTTTCATATTTTCCAAGTTTGCGAAAGTAACCATATTTGTCTTAGTTTAATGGGGTAGTAACTTTTCATATTATTGTAATAAAGTTTTTCTGAGTCTATGTAATTATTTTATTTTTAATCGTGTGTTGAACTTGGAAGGTTTATGATTACTCGTAGTTTTCTTGGTGGGATGGTGAAATATTGAATTAACTGCATTAACAGATGAAACTTTTGTAGATTTTTGGTTTTGGGGATATATATCTGCGCGTTCTGGGATTCATCATGCCTTCTGAAACAATTGACTTCAATTGTTTCTCTTCGTCACTGTATCCCTCTGAAGATATTTGTTCTTCTCATGAGGTATCTTCTCGTTTGATTTAAATAACATGGTGTTGTTTTTAGGGGCATTTGTAAATTTTTTGAAATTTAAACAATGTTGGCGGTTCCTGTCCTTATTTGTTCGCGTTTTCTTTTTCTCTTGGCAGAAGAAGGCTAGCTTATGGAAACCAGATAACCAGCCCAAATGCTATGGTTAGTACTTTGTATTACTAATGTATTTGATTTTCACTTTGTTAATATTGTTGTTGTCTGACTGTGCTATTAGAGTGGATTCTTAACAGTTATCTGGTGCCAAATACCTTTTTTTTTATCTTCAAATTTATGTAACTTTTAAAGTAAGTTATTAAGGATTTAGGAGTCATTTGCTTGCTTTGTACTTGCACGTTGCTACGTTAGGTATCTCAGATTACCTTGGCTGAGCAATTTTAACACTTATCTGGTCAACATTACTAGAAGAGGTTGACTTTTCATGTTTGGGTGCTCTCGTGCTTTGCTTGCTTCAAGCTCAAAAGGCTTTTGCTGTGTTGAAAACCATTGCAACCCTTGCACCTCACATCATAAGCTTTTAGGTTTTAATTTGTTTCTCAATACCTTCAAATAACAACTTATGGCAGCACAGCATGTAAAGTACTTAAGAATTAGAACATTCCAAGTCATGTCAACTGTATGAACAGAAAAAACTCAGATGCATTGATGCGCTACTTTGTTTGTACAAATGGTACATTCAATCAGTCTTTGACTTTTTTTTGTCATGTAGATTTTGATCAAGGAATAAAAGCCAGCTGGAATGTACAAGCATTATCAAATAAATCGGACAGTAGCAAAGTTAATATAGTTACTACTCAGCATGAAAGTAGCCTCTTCTCAAGTTCTCTGTCAGAGTTGTTTAGCAGGAAATGTAAGTTTTCTTTGTCCTCTTAATGTTTGCTTCACCTCATTTTGTGGATAGTGAATGAAGCTTTATTGTTCTAATTTGAATTCTAAAATGGGTTTGGGTTGTATGCTGAGATTTCTAAAGAAAACTGCTAGCTAATATACCTTTGTATGACTTCTATTGGTGCAGTGAGATTCTCTGGAAATGATGCTTTATATGGACATTCAGTTGACACTGTTGCATCCCATTATGAGGAAGAGAGACTTTTTGACTCTCTTGAAGAACTTGAGGCTCAAATTATTGGAAATCTACTCCCCAGTGACGAGGAATTGCTTTCAGGAGTGACTAATGGGCTTGACCACATCATCCAAGACAGCACTGGTGATGACATGGATGAACTAGACCTTTTCAGCAGTGTTGGAGGGATGGATTTAGGAGATGAGAATAGTTCATCTCCTGGACAAAAGAATTCTGAAATCCTTGATGGAGCTTCTAACAGTCAACTAGGGCTGTGTAGTACCTCAATTGCTGGAGAACAACCTTTCAGTGGACATCCTTCTAGAGCATTAGTTATGAGAAATAATATTAGTGGTGTTGAAGATTCTGAATTGAAAGCTCTTTATGAGGTATGCTTTATTGTTTTCTTTGTCCTTTTGTTTCTAAAGACAAGTTCTTTATTCAGTACTTCATATTAAAGGGCCTTAAGTGGATATGTTGGCTGTGGTAATAATTTGTTTCCTTTTTGTTTTTAAATCCTGAAACGGATTTTGATTTATCATCACTTTTGACACTAAATTTTGATTTTGTTGACATGTCTGCATGAATAATTGGGAAAGTAAACTACCCAGTTATTTTGATAATATTGCAATGAACTGTGCTGAGAATCTGATACCTCACAAAACTTACAAAAGTAATGTTTGCATTGAGTTTGGTAGCAGCTCCTTGCTTGTGGCACAAATTTTATCAAGATAGTCCTTCCAAGGAAATATGAATCAGGACACTCTTGTGGTCTTTTTATATGATTCATCTGTTTCAAATAATGAACTTTACCATATATTTAATATTTATGGAGAAATCAAGGAGGTGGGTTTGGTTACGAATTTATTTGTTGCACAAATGTTGATGAGGATAATTTATATGGTTGGGCAACCTTCTTGAATTTCAGATTCGTGAAAATCCACACAGTCAAGATCACGAATTGATTAAATATTCTAATGTAAGAGGTGCAGAGGCATCTCTCCATGCTTTAAATAGAGATGATACTACCAGGAAGAGGCTAAGGGTTGAGCCAAATCAATCTGAAGATTCAACACAGTGGTAATCTTCAAGTTCAACTGTGCTTTCCTTTGCATATGCTTTCTCAATTTTAATTTTGCTCCCATCACATTGCAGTGCCAGTCAAATCTTGCCTGGATATTTCTATCACATTTTATTCAGCATTTATATTTTACAGTATTAGTGCTTCATTCTAGTTGCTTATTGCCTCAAGCAGCAAATTACAGGCATTTATTTATTTTACTTAGTTTTTGTCTGCTAATTTTTCTTCCCTTTTATTTGGCTGCAGTATGGCTCAACAGATCCATCCAGAATTGGAACAGAAAGAAAGTAGCCTTTATCTGCATCAGAACAGTGCAACTAGCTTCCCAGGTAGAGAGTATATGGTGATCAATTATCAATTTAGTAGCAGAAACATTATTTTCCCTCACTGATGCTTGTACATTGGACCAGGTTTGCATGGGATTTCTAAATTTGGTATTATAGATGGTGGAAGAATTCCTGGTGCTGAGCCTGCTACATGCTCACCAACCCTGGAAACTGCTTTTGCTCATGGTGTCTCTTCAAGTCTTCCTAATTCCTTACCATCTCTAATCAGAGTGAAATCAGTTAGCAGCGCATGTGAAATTACTGAATCTGGTTCACCAGACCAGTTGAATATTCAAGATGCATCAGCTTTTCATCCACATTCCCTTCCAGAATGTCACAACGGTTTAGCTAACAGTCGTATTCCTCCTGAGGTGGCAGCAAACATCAATCTCAAAAAACAGGAAAGAGTGGATGACATGCAGTTCTGTCAAGTGAATTCCAATGGACGCTTCATGGAATTCAATGAATGTGGTGAGTTAAAAAAGTGCAATAGATTGTAAGTGTAAATAATAACTTTTCCCTATTCATATTATGATTGATGAATCAATAAATCATTGAACTACACGCGTTGAATATAGGAAACAAAGACTAACTTTTTATGATATATATAAAAATATTCTACTGATCATATTTCCTCCTCTTTTGTCAGTTTTTAATTCCTCTAGTAATGGAAGCTGCCCTCTTCCTGGACAACATTGCAAATGGGGCAACAACTCCTATCATCCTCCTGGAATGGTGTGGCCAAATTCACCTTCATATTATGATGGAGTTTGTGCAGCCCCTACCCTCCCAAGATTGCATGGACTTCCTAGGTCACCATCACATATGATGACCACTGTTTTACCCATAAATGGCCAGCATGTGCCTTCAGTTCCTTTTTGGGACAGAAGACATACCTATGCAGGGGAATCTCTTGGGAATATGCAATTTTCTGGTAATACAGCACCACCTTGCGTTGACTTTGTTTCCTATAACATCTTTCCCCATTTTGGGGGAAACTGTGTTGACCTTAGAATCCTCCCCAAGAATCTTGGACTCCATTTTCATAACCAAAGGGACCTACTGTTTCCTAGAAGAAACCATATGATTAATTCATTTGAGACTCACAAACAACGTGCTAGAAGCCGCAGAAATGAAGGCGTGACAAACTTGGCTGACAAGAAACAGTATGAACTTGATATTGACCGCATCAAGAATGGTGAAGATAACCGAACAACACTTATGCTTAAGAACATTCCTAACAAGTAAGTAGCATTGTATAGGTTACATTAAATAGCTTTAGGTTTGTGTATTTAATTTTTAACTGTCTGTGATGCAAACATTTGTATGTTCACTTGGTACATTTTGGGCTGTGCTTTCACTTTACAAGAAATTTTGGAGTTTCTGTGAAAATTTCTTTTGGAGGAATGATCACTTTGAGCAAAATTCAAGTTTGGTATGTCATCAAAGAAGTTCTCTAGGTTTTGCCTTGTATAATTTTGATTGAAGCTGTTTTAACAACTTTGTTGGTTTTTATATATTTTATTGTTAGACAAGATTCTATTTCCTGCCCTTTCTTGACATAGTAAAGTAGATTCTTATGCCTTATGGAATGACTTCGATTGTGGAAAAATTGTCTTAACTTGAAAGTGCTCTTATGTTATATTCACATCATAGCCAAACAAACTTTATTAGAGATCGAGATTTGAAAAATTGTTTCCTGATTATTTTTTCCCTTTCTGCTCATGGTTACTGATCAGTTTAGCAGACTGTGTATATTTAAATTGTAGATTGTTATCATTAATTTGCCTCTTATTTGCTAATGTCGGAATTAGGATGTGTGATTGTTGAAAATAAGCACAAAATTAAGCTTGTAATTCTTTTCATTGATTTTAAGCATATATGAAACCTTGTCATTTGTCTTAAATAGTTTTTGCTGGAAACGAAGAATTCTATTTCAGTTCTACTACACCTCATTAAGCATCGTTTTATTTTAAAATTACCATTTTCACGGACTATGATTTGTTCTTTTGCAGGTATACATCCAAGATGCTGTTGGCTGCAATTGATGAACGCCATAGAGGAACTTATGATTTTGTTTATCTACCAATTGATTTCAGAGCAAGTGCTTTTCTCTTTTTAAAATACTTGGAATTTATGGCCATTTGTCGTATAGAGAATGTCTTTCAAGAAAATACTTGTTGTTCTTTCTCTGTTTTGTGCTACAGTCGCAGGAAAATACTTTTTCGTTTTTTTGCATCTTAATAAAGAGGGGAAAACGTTCAAGGATGAGAAAGCCATTTTCCTGAACAAAACAATGAGAAAGTTTAAGAAAATGCATCAATGTGATTTACTTTACTATTCCTTTCTCCTTTTATGCTTGATTGTTCACACAGAATCAACATTAATTGCAGAATAAATGCAATGTGGGATATGCATTCATCAACATGACTAGTCCTGGCTTGATTATACCATTCTATCAGGTAAGCTACCGAAAATAGTGATAATAATGAAAATGATTGCTCTAAAATTATAATAATCTTCACACATACCCTTTTTTACAAATAGACTTAGCTTATGATGCAATTTTTGGGCAGGTGTTCAATGGAAAGAAATGGGAGAAATTCAACAGTGAGAAAGTGGCATCACTAGCATATGCTCGCATACAAGGGAAAGCAGCTCTCATTGCTCACTTTCAAAATTCAAGCTTGATGAATGAGGATAAGCGCTGCAGGCCTATCCTCTTCAACACCGACGGCCCTAATGCCGGTGACCAGGTATAAATTTCCTGCAAGACTCATTTATCAGTTACATTGCATGCTTCAAGCATAATACAGAATCTTGGCAATCCATTTGAAATTTGCATATGTTACTCTCTTGGTAAATGTTTACCAAGAGAGGAAGCTGCACACAGAATGGCTACTAACTTTGCTGGAAACACAGGTTCCTTTTCCAGTAGGCATTAACATTCGCAACAAAGCTGGAAGAGTGAGAAACAACACTCATGAGAATAACATGCAAGGGAGTCCTCCTAATTTGGGAAACAATAAGCTCTCTTCTGATGGAGCCAGTCATTCATTGGAGTCAGACTAAGGGAGCCATATTTGTTCCTTCTGCCATGCCATTAATTTTAGTGGCACTGACCTTCGGAAACCAAATTATCCAAGTCACATTAATTAGGCTGCTCATGTTTGGAGTACGTAAGTATCAACACTAACCTTAAGCCATGAAGTTTTCCAATTCTTTTGGCTTTTATTACTAAATTCCAAACATGGTTGAAGTATGAACATCAAGAGAAGCTGTCACAACTTTTCATGTGCAAGAGTACCATATCAAGGTATTACATGTACTAGAGTTTCACACCGGAGAGTGGAGAGGCTTGTAATGTGGTTCGATGGGAACCTAGTCTGTATCAATTTTACCCTTGTTTCTCCTCTTCCTCTCCCTGTTCTCTTTTTTCTTCAGGCATGTTTTTTTCCTTCTGTAAATTGTAGATTTTGGAGTTCATCTCATCCCAAACTTGTGAAAATTTTGATGAACTATTTATGTACTGTGCCGAAGCCTTCTTTGGCTGTTCATCATTGTTATTGTTTGGTGTGCATGCACACTCATCTATTCACCTTTTCTTTGTAAATGTTACACTTTGAATAATATAATTGACGTGTCATTTGAGTGTCTCTATTGTCACTTTGTAAAGATATAAGTGGATTTCTAAACCAGTTTTAGGTTATTGTAAGAATTGGCATACATTCGAATCGGAAACTTCCAAATAAGATTACTTGCTATTCTTATACTCCTTCCGATCAATTGAAAGCTAACAACTCATTCGTTAGTTAGTTGGTAACTGAACCAGTTCTGTTTGTTGGTTTAGTTTGCTAGCTGTTATTCCATTGTGACTTAAGCATGTAGTTTGATGCATATATTAACATTAGGGAGTTGTTATGGTACATAACTACATATCCCAGTTTATTACTGTTTTGATTTATCTGATCGACTGTATGTCATTAGATGTCTAAGTGCATTTATTTTGAACATAATAATATAGAGTAAAAATTGTAGGACCACATAAAATCTATACTACCTACAAATAAATGCTCAATTTAAAGTATATATTAATTAATTGAGAGAAAAATCATTTTTATATAATTATAAGATCATTTAAGATTTGTAATAAAATTATAAAACTATATACCACCTATTAATCAATTACTCTGAAATTGAATCACGTTTATCTATTTCATAAAGATTTGACATAATCTACATCCAAAACAAGAAGACGACGATCTACCAAAAAGTCATCACATGAAAATTGACCGTTGATTTCATCTAAATTTGAGATCGGTTAAGTAAAACCTTTGTATTATTGTAACAAAGTAAGCACAGCCTAGACTGGTTTCTAAAATCAAATTCATGTTATGACCTATTAATAAAATAAATAAAAAATCAACTAAATAAACTAACCTGCCGTTAGTGGGTCGGGTTAAAAAAATAATATTTATATTTTTATCAGAAAGATTACCACATCAAATTTAAGTCTTCATCTTTCTATTTACCAAAAAACTTATTTTTCTCTTTAAGTAATTAACGCTCGTATCACGAATCTTAAAGCAGTAGCAACATTAACTACAGAGAGCCTTAGAAAGACAGAATACTACAAAGAGCACTTGAGATTCGAGAATGTTTAAAATCTAAATCTGACAAGTTTTTCAAAATTAAAAAGAAAATGGCCAAAGTGTCCATTGCCCTCTTTGGCCCAAAGGTTCAAATGAATCTCTTCCCAGTTACCAACTAGACCCAATGTTACGATCTAACATTAACCAATAAGAAATAAGAGATAAGAGAGATAAAGCATTAAATCAAGAAGAAATATTCATCATATTTATGTATCTCCAACGTCACAATTCAAACAACTAAAATAGCAAAAGAAACTAACGATCAACAACTTAGTCATTCAAAAAATAGATCTAGACTTTTTAGGGAAAACAAAAGATATTAACATCTAGACCCAATAGCTAATAATAATTAGATAATCATATAAGGACCTTCTAATCACGTTTGGGTCTATAGAGGAATGAGTCTTCTCGTGTACTAACAATGCCTGTATCTACAAGTGGAGCTTTGTCCTCAAGGCTCGATGTATCATTGTGAGGCACATGGATTGTGCTTGTGTGCGGTTCATATGCAATTTGAGAATATTGATGTGGATCGAACGGTGTTTGGTGTGTCAAATAAAACGTTTTGCAGTATCTATTGAAAAAAATTTCAAGTCTCACCTATCTTAAATCATTAAAAATTAAAAGGGTCACCCATCATTTATCCAAGTATCAAGTCCAATAGTATTAGACATGAAAAAGTGTATTGGAAAAAATTGAAGTTCCACAATGATTAAAGTTAAGACAATTAAAGAGTATACAAGTGAGGGGTAACCCTTAACTTACAAGTCAATTTTGTAGGGTTGAGTTAGACCTAAACTCACATTCTAAGATGATATCAAAGTTATCTACATCTACTCTAAATGGGTCACCCACCATCGATACACACATCAAGTGTGATAATGTTGGATATGAGAGTGTATTAGAAAAAATTCAATTCACACCTATCTTAGATCATTAAAAAAAGGGTTATCCACCATTTATCCACGTACCAAGCCGAATATAGTACTAGACGTGAGGGGTGTATTGAAAAAATCGAAGTCTCACATCAACTAAAGATAAGACAATTAAAGAGCATATAAGTGGAGGAGAAAAACTTTCACCTTATAAATCAGTTTTGTAAGGTTTAATTAGGTCCAAAGTCACATTATACGAGTGTTTTTGTCATCATTAATGGAGTTAGGTGGTAGCATATGGGTAACAAGCATGTTCAAACTCATCGCTTTGATCTCCTTGAGATTCTACAAAGGAGCATGTAAGTTACATTATTAAGTGGAAGGGTTTTCATTTGTCTCCTTGAGAACATTTTCATGCATGAGAGATGAGTCATTTTCCTCTAGTGGGGATGATGGATTGTGAGAGTAAAGAGACAACAAAAGGTTGTTATGGAAGCGACGAAGCATCAACATAAGAAAAATGAGGTGAATCTTCATGGTAGCTGGAAAAAGCAATTTATAAGCTACCTTACCTATAGGATATGTATCACTATATGATAATTTTCTTGTAGTGTAATTATTATTATTATTATTATTATTAATATTATTATTATTATTATTATTATATATATATATATATTCAAATTAACTCCACTCAGTGATTCCTTTTTATTTATTAAGATATTGTCCTGGAAAATACCCACCCATCCACCAATTATCCCCTGCTAAACTAATGCAGAGCAGCAGAGGTCACTGGTGGGTTAGTGGCACATGCTCCACGCACTT